TGGTGTGCACCTACACCAATGAATGCAGCATGGGCAACAAAGAGGAGGAGTTAGAAGCCATTGTGCAGCTAGAAAACTACAGTTTAGTGTGGCCTGCAGAATCAATGTATAGATTGTACCCCTGTATTCAGCATTGGTGACATCACACATCAAATCCTGTATCCAGTTTTGGGCCACTCATGACCAGAGAGACGCTGAGGTGCCAAAGTGAATCCAGAGAAGGGCAGCAGATCTGAGGAAGGGTCTCTAGCTTTAGTCTGATCAGAAGCAGATGAGGGAGTTGGTGGTGTTCAGCCTGGAGAAAAGGAGGCTCAGATAGGACCTTGAGCTGCTGTTACTCTCTTGAGCTGCCTGAGAAGATCCTGTAGCCAGGCAGGAGTTGGTCTCTCCTTCCAGGTAATAACGAACAGGACGAGAGGAAATGCCTCAAATTGTGGCTGGGGAGATTTAGACTGACTATTGAGAAAAATATCTTACCCAGAAGAGTTGCTGAGTATTGGAACAGGCTTCCCAGGGAAGTGGTGAAGTCACCCTCCCTGGATATATTTAAAAGTTCTGTAGATGTGCTATTGAGGAACTTGGTTGAGGGTGGATTTGGCAGTGCTGGCTTAACAGTTGGACCTGGTGATCCTAAAGGTCTTTGCATTCTCTAGCTCTATGACTTAGAGACACAGTTTTGTCCTGAAAAGGCAACATAAAGAGCTTTTTATGAAAATACAAGTGAAGAGAATTCTGCCTGAAGATACTATGTGCTTCATTTTAGTTTAAAATTAATGTTTTCCTGTCACAAATCAACATTAGAAAGAAAGGCAAGAAGCAGCAGTTTGCTGTGAGGTGGTTAAACATCAGTTTGCCGTGAGAAACTATCATTAGTGGGAGCTACCTCTAATAACTTCTGTATGCCAACTACTCCTCTGTCTGATATGACAGATCTTTTTCCATAACCCTGTATAAAGATTCCTGACATGTATCCTTGTGGAAATCTGTATGGGTCATGTGTGAAATTTATTTCTTTTACTGTATTCTTGTGTGTAACACAGGAATTCTCAATTTACAGAAATGACCACTATTGGGACAACTGAAAGAACTGTAAGCTATGTCTAATATATAGTTCTAACATAGTTTAAAATTTAGTTATATTTCTGATTAATTTTGTATATGTCCAGCAAGAACTTCTTGTGAATAACAAAAATAATCCTTCTATTAATTGTGGATAGAAAATTTCTCATAGATGTTTTAACATTTAATAATCAGCGTATATTTGGAGAGAATGTTTATGAAATTTAATAATGAATAAAGTAGGATCAAACTGGATGCAAATTTAAAGACTCCAAATTATTAATCAAAAATAAGTTATGGCATAATATAGCTCACTGTTAAACTTCAGCTTCACCAAAACTGTTCATATATGTTGATATCTTCTATGTATTAAGAAATTACATGATGAAGACAGATGCCTAATAGGCTGAAAATGTGTAGAGACGACTAGCATTTGCATGTTAAAATTATATTAATATGCTGCCAAAACATGGCATTGAAGAAATATTCTGGAAATGCACATGGGTCATAACTGGGTTTTGAATTTTCTAAACCCGTATTATGCTTAACTATGACTTCTACCTACATTCAATAGCATAATATTACAGGTGTTACAGAGGAAATGTGTTATTTCCAGAAACATCAGGGATTTCCTGCATCAATATAACATATATGAAGATGCTACTATGATAAAACTCATTTGACAGAGGGGTTGGATGGCAGCCAACATCTAAATGCACTACACTGATGTAAAAGTGTCCTGCCAGTTTTCTGCTTCTTTCATAGTGGTCTTGCAATTCTTTTTTTTCTTTTCTCTTCTTTTTTTTTTTTTCTTTTTGATTGGCTGGTTGGTGGTTTTGGTGGTGATGGCTGTTTTGTTGTTTGATTTTTGGTGGGGGAGGCATTTGGTTGGTTGGTTGGTTGGTTGGGTGGGTGGGTGGGTGGTTTGGGTTGTTTTGTTTTGTTAAAAGGAAAAGCATGGGTAAGAAAAAGAAAAAGTCTTGAGCCATAGCTTCTGTTATGAATAGGTATGACAATTTAGATAAGTCCTTGCCTTTTGTCCAGACCTCTGGCAGCAGACAATAACCTAATTGGGGCGACCAGCACCCCAAAACCCACTCTCATCTGCAAGTTCTTTAATAATGGCCGATTAGGTCTATCTAGAATGAATTATTTATTTAGTGGACACAAAACTGATGTAAGACAAAAGACTTCAAACAAACTATTTACTACACAGTAATAAAACTGTTGTGGTTTATGTTTAGTTTGAATGTTATTTGGTTGTGTTATTTCCCTTGTTGTAATTGTTTTTCCCTCTGTTGTACCCCTTTGTTAATATGAAGTGGTTACTCCCTTTCCCACACTTACCCTTGCCCATCATCACAAGCCCCGCCTACCCTTCCAGAATCTTCCCTGTCCTTCACCCCAAACCCTGCCCATACAGTTGTCAATCTCTCCTAGCCCCTCCCATTGTTCTAGATGGTTCTGTATCAATCATCCCCCTCTTGGTTTACAATTCGTTACCATGTATAAATGTTATCCCTTATTGGTTAGGTGAATATGTAATCCCGCCCTATGTTACACCCTCTGTTTTCCCTAATTGGCTGAAGTATTGTACCCTCCCTCAGGGGAGGTCCCCTATTTAAGTTGCTGTAAGACTGTTCTCCTCGCCTTTCTGGGTTCCTTCCCTTCCCGTCGAGTTGTCTTCCCTCACCCTCTCAATAAACCTCTCCTCAGAACCTAGAAAGGTCTCCTCCTCAATCCTTTGCCTCCCCTCGGATGTGGACATAGCTGTGATAAAGGTGAAGAGCCCTAGCTAGACACCTGCTTCACGGAAGCTGGGAGACAGCCCACTCTTGACACCAGCAGCCAGCAGAGCTAGCTGGGCTTGCTAGGTTTGAGTGGTTGAGGCTGCTGTGTCATAAAACAAAAAAAAAAAAGGAGAACTACTAGTAGATAACATACAGTGTACAATAGAGGTAGTACGTATTATTATATCTAGTGAAGAAATAATATAGATTAGGATTCAATGTATCTTATATCTAATTGCTGATGGGGCACACATTGAAATCCTTTACCTCAATTTCAGAAAAGTAGCACAAAGTACTTTTTTTACAGAAAAGTAACCACAAAGAGGCATCTAGCTTCAGGAAGCAGCCATCTTACATGTTTCCAGGGAATGTGTAAGACACTTCCACCTCCATGATAATTTTTGTGGCTTTTATAGTGTAAGGCAAGGCCTTTTAGTCACTAATATTTATTTTCTTTTATCCCTTCCCATATCTGCCCTCCATACCAAGATGTTGATTCTTGGTCGGGCTGCAGGCCTTTTGGCACCAGATTACCTCTTTGCTGGGCCTTTGACCTGCCTGGGTTATCTCTCCCATCTGCACCAGCCATCTGGGGTGGGGAGAAGGAAGGAGGGGGGAGGAAGTCCAGCTTCCTCTGGAAGAGAACAATTTCTTTCCTCCTTTCAGTCCTCATTAGCACTACATCCAGCATACACAGTTGTCATTGGATGCTGGTTGCTAATATGTGTTAAATGAAAGAAGAGATGCTATAATTTCTCCGCTGATTAACCTTATTTCATGAACTGTGAGTGACTCACAGGCAAGTTAGAGGACAGAAGAGGGGTTTTTCTGACTGGCTACATTTCTGATTCTTCTTATGCAGTTCAAATTAATCTCCACACCAATGAAAAGAACAATTAAACTGTCCAGGGAGGAAGAACACAGGGATCCCAGGCTTTAGGAACTGAAGAATGATCCAGGAATATCATAATCATCTAGGTAGAGAATATTCTATCTTTATGATAGTCTTTTCCAAGAATTGGCCTTTTACCCTTCTTTTCCAGGCTTCACAAAATAATCATAAAATTGCTTTCTTTTTTGATGTTTTAGTCAGTAATGGCTGTAAATACTGTCTGGTTTCTATGAGACAATGAGTCAATGAGACAATGAGTCAATGAGACAAAACAGTAACACATTTTTGCTGACGTAAGGTATGTTTCACAAAGGCATGAAAGTCAGACTAAGATACTAAAATGTGTTATCTTTTGTGGTTTTTCTTCTCACTAAAGAACATTTTACACAACATTCCTGAAGAGCCTACACTGATTTCTGTTCTGAGGTCAATAATTTCATGGACCTCTGGAATCATCTCTCCTCCAGAAGTTTGGAATATTGGCATAAATTTATTCAGTTTGGTAACGTTATTAATAAAGTTCAGGCCACAGATTTAGAGAGTAATGTCTTTCAAATTTTCAAGCCAAATAGAGTTTGTGGACATGACTAGGATCAGAGTTCATATTTTGGTCCAATGTTGATATGAGTGTGTTGGTTTGAAAGTAAAACCAGTGCGAGACTCCAAGTCAGTAATACAATTTAATAGGAGAAAAGAGAAAAAATAAAATACATGCAATAATACGAAAGAAACAACCACTGACAAAGTCAGAAATACAACCTTACATCCTGTCAGTCGGGGTGTTGGTAGCAGTCCGTATAAATGGTGGCTGCAGTCCTCCTGGATGACGGATGTGATTCCGTTGAAGCAGTGCTCCTGTAGAAGGTGCAGTTTTCCTCCGAAGGTCCAGCGATGATGTGGAAATGTTCAGACTTTCCTCTGGGATCCAGTGGAAAGGACTGCCTTCACGTCCCATACCCCAGTTTTTTATCTAGGTAGGAAAGGCTTGGCTCCTCCCCCTGGCTGGAGCATCTCCCAATGGGATGATGTAATCTTATCTGTCACACAATAGGATTTAATGGCCCATTAACAGAATATATCTTCTGGAGGAAGGAAGGGTTGTGAAAAGATAACAATGATCATCCCCTGATTTTATCAGATGGCCCATCAGCAGAGAATATCTCCCACAGAGATAAGGATCACCACCCCTCCCACATTTTAACAGATGGTGACAGAATACATATTTTTGCATTGTATCCCAGGACAATGAGCTATTTCAATCCTCCGATCTACTTTATGGATAATGGGTGATCATTGCTTTGCACACCCATTTATTAGAGAATTATTTCCTCCAAGGAGAGGTTTTTTTTTTCTTTAACATATACAGTCTCTGAACTCTTTGTAGTGATGTTGTGACACGTGGCGCTATGAAAAATTGTCTTCAAAGTCTCAACAACAACCTCTGTCTTCTAAATTACTGTGCAGAAAGAATGATCACAGTACACATTCTGCCTTTTTCCATCACATAAGTAAGATTTCGTGAACATATAGCCTTAGTTATCACATACTAGCACAAGACTATTTTCACAGAACAGAAGAAAAGGATCTAAAAATACATTTCAAAAAGTCAAGTGTTTGCTAAAATAAGTAGAGAAATAAAGCATTTCATTTCAATAATTGTATGGGCTCCAGCTCACTATTAGATAGATTATATGGTTTTGTTGCACAATACATCTATCTCTTTCCATTTATTTTATATTTATTACTTTGTATTATTGAAGACATACACAAAAATCTTCATTTATTCATCCAGAACCTGAAATCAGTGCATGGCACAGACTGATGCATATCGAAATTGGAAATAATAGACTAATCCCCGGTCTTACCTTTTAAACTGAAAATAGAGTTATTTTGCAATGTCAGTTGAAGCAGCTAATGATATTTGACATGGGGACGGGATAATATTCACTTTAAGCTTCTTTAGCTTTGCTCAGTGTGGAGGAAGAGTGGTCAAATTTCATGGGATAATGACTCTGTTTAGTGTAACTTTGCTTGAGAAACACATTTGCTTACAATAGAAAAACAGAGAACACTGAAAATGTCTTTTACAAGTGACTTGAAAGCTTCTCCTCTGTGTTATTGTGATCATCTGAGCAACCAATGACCTTGAAGCCTCTTTTTCTAGTACGTCTTTTAAGGCATCTAATACGTCTTAAGAATTATGCTGTTGTACTGATCTAAGTTCTTTTATTTTGTGATATTTATGCTTCTAATGTGTACTTTAGGCTGGTGGTGGTGGAGAGTACTATGACATACCATCATCTCATTGATACAAATCATGTTGTTCCATATGTAGATAAATGAATTTTGGAATAGCTTCTAGACCTTATTAGAACTTGGAAAGCAATGTGGTATGTCATGCTTCCCTAAATGTAACTGTGCACAGACATGTATTCACACACAGATACTCACATGACATGCATTTCAGATGAGACTCATAAAATTCTTGTATCATGCTAAGAACAGATTAAATAAATGGGAAAATATTATCATGGCTCTCCTTTCACACAACTTTAAGCAGTATACTACTCACTTAAATCCACCATTACCTCCTGTGATAAAATTAAAATGATTTTCAGTGGTTTGCTTGGTAGGCCAAATGTGAGCATTCCATCAGTGAGGCTTTCAGGTTTTTGAACCCTGAACTTACTGGGAATAATGAAAAAAAACCATATTAGAAGTTATTTATGGAGGAGTCAGTACTGTATAGATTACTCAGAGAGTCTCACTGGAAGTTTCCTTAACCTGGATACATCCTTTTTTTATTTGTGTGTCCTTTTGGTCTGTCTTTTCCAGTTAGAGACAATTTTTTCTTTTGATTCATTTTGTATTATTTTTAATTATAAACTATCATAGACAAATATGAAACTACATGTTTAGTAGTAAACTTTGTATATATTTTGGAGATCCTCTGCTTAAATTATATAAGAAAGCAGTAACTAAAATAGATTGCATAGTCACTCTTGCTTCAAACGTTTTTTGTGGCATGTGTATCCTATATTACTGGGGTTTTTTTATGCATACTCTCTAAGCATGGATGAGAGATGTATTTTAAATCTCTGTGAATAAATACCTACAACAAAAGCAATACATACCCTTCAGACTGAATTTAGCCTGTTGTGACAGAAAAAGACATTATATCATCACTATTTATATAAGGCTGAAATATCAGAATATAAAATAGCTCATAGGTGGTGACAGCTGTTGAATTAGCCTGAAAGAAAGGATATGCTAATAATACAGCAAAGAAAATTCCATTCTGCCATTGATAAGTAATATTTAGCAAACAAGGACTTGAAGCAAAGGTGCTAACTGCTCTTGGAAAATCTGAGTCTTAAGAAAAAGTAGAGAAAGAATGGTGCATTTTCAGCTTATGTGTGAAAATTTTTGAAGTTTTTTGCTCGCCTGTTCTTCTGATCAGGATCTCAAATTGCATGATCTTTGGGTGCTACAACACACTGAAGTGCAAGTCCTGTGCATTTTCTCTTGACAGTACAGCTGCTGTTATAGAGAGCTTAGTGCTGTTGGTAACTGTCATCAGCTTTGCTTTACTCCTAGAAACAGTCTTATTTATTTTAATATTTACATGGGGATATCTGTAACATTAGCAATGTGCAGCATCTCTAGCATGTTGACATACTAGCTGCTTCACTCTCCAAAAACTCTTTTCTCTGTTAACTAAGGAAAGTCAAGGAAGGGGATGGACTGTCACAAGGAAAGTATTCCTGAAGTTTTTCCTGCTGAGCAAGCAATAGTTATAATGTAACATTTGTCTTAGCTTTACATGTCTTTTTGCAAATGTTGTGAGCTTCCTGAATCTTAGATGACCCTTGCACAGCTATAGACAATCTGTGATTTTTTTACTGAAGGTGTATGAAACGTTCTCAGTAAGTGGTACTGACCATAAATAGCTAATTATTGGCAGATGTATAATTACATACAAAAAGTGAGAATGTCCTAATTTTGGTGGGGCTACAGTTGGTTTCCCTCCCAGCTGGAACTAGTACAGTGCTGTGCTTTGTACTCAATGTGAGAATTGTGTTGATAACGCATTGATGTTTTGGCTCTTGCTAAGTAATTGTTGCTCTGAGTGAAGGAGTTGTTAGTGTCTTATACTCTGCCGGTGAGAGGCTGTGCAAGAAGCCAGGGGAGAGCACAGCCAGGACAGGTGATCTGAATGGGCCAAAGATATATTCCAATAACACAGAAAATCAAGCCCAGTACATAAACTGGGGGCAGCTGGCAAGTGCTGCTTGGAGACTTGCAGGGCGTCTGTCAGTGGGTGGTAAGAAATTGTATAGTACTTCTCTTGGGTTTTATTCCTTCCTCTCTCTTAATTTCATTCCAATAGGTATTTTTATTGTTATTATTAGCATTAGCATTATTAGTAAAATTTATTTCAAATTATAAACTTACTATTGCACAAGTTTCACTTTTCTTCTCTGATTATCCTGCCCATCCCTCCAAGGGCAAGAGGCAGTGAACAGCTGCATAGCACTTAGCTGCTGTCAGGGTTTAAGTCCTGGCATGGAATAACAAATCTAATTTCTGTTAAAATCCCATATCTATCAGGTAATTTCTTGCCTCTACTATTTGATAGTTACAAATAATGTCATTATCGGTTATTTAAATGTTATCATTACAAGGAGAAAGACTGAAGTAATACGCTTGTATAATGTCTGCTTTTATTTCTTTATATCTTTTGCATGAGCTGAGTAAACTGGTCAGTGGAATATATTTTTCATTAGTTAAATGCATTTTTCTGTTTAAAACAACAAATATTCAAAGAAGAATCCCACTTCTTGCTGGTAAGAAAAGCTGAGTGCTTGGACAACACATTTTAATATAGCTCAGTTATTTGAAATGCTTACTAGCAAGTCGGCATTCACACCATTGTAGGTGCTTTGAGTGATTATAGTTGTTGATAAGAGATCCATGTTTCTGCCTGAAGATATAAAGTAACTTTTCCTTCTTAAAATATATAATATTTTTCATCATTCATACAAATTAGATGTTGACATAATTCAAAGGAAACCTCTTTATGATATTAAGATACTAAACTATAACAATAATTGATGCTGAATTAATTCTGTAGCTGGACTTTTTTTTTATCTTTCCCAGCCTTTCTTTTCCATGTATAGGCTTCTATATTGCAGTAGTCATAGTTGTGCACGATTCAAAATAAGCTTTAAAATATGATTTGTAGTTGAACTTTTCATATGCCCAAAAGAGAGAGGAAGAGCTGGAGGAGTCACTGAAGTGTTGTCAGACTCTTTCTGCTTGCTTGTCTTCCCCTCTTGACTGCTGAAATATTCTTCTGACGGTACTTCACTATTATGTGTTTTTCTTCTTCATCACAGTTCAGACACAGGCATTTTACAGTGACAAGTAACTCTAAAGAAAACGTTTTATTTGAGAATATCAAACCAAATATATGTAATGAGTTGTCTCCTTTGCAGCAGTGGAAAATCAGCAGATTGTACTTGTTTTGATGGATTAAATACTTTCATTCACTGAAATATGAAAGATGGTAACAACTCTGTTTTAAGACGAAAATCAGAACCAAAGAAATCTATATTTTGTACACATAAACTTCTCAAAATACATTGATAGCAGCAGTTGATAGCATACTCTTGAGATGGTGGCATATCTAAAAAATAAGAGATCATTTAACAGTTTTGGGTTAGTTATTTCTTGGTTACAGGAGGTAAAAGGACTCTTTTTTGTATAACTTATACTGATACTTACATGTCTTTTTGTTATATGGTGATGTAGCCTCCCTTTCAATGAAATTTTGCACACTTCACTTTGTAATATTGCACATGATAAATTCTGATGTGCTACACAAAGAAGGACCTTTGACAATATACAAGATTTTTTTAAATCTTCATACTTCGGAAATTACATCTCTCTGGCTTTCATTCGTTTGTATCTCATCAATATGTATGGTTCACATTCATATATGCAGGTCAGTCAGTAAGTATTAATTGTTAATAAAATGACATGGAAATGTCATGCTTGGAACAAGGATATGCAGGGGCACCCTATTCCATCACATTTTGCCTTATTAATTTCTGTATTTTTCTTCCTTTCTGTGAAAGAATTTTTAGGCGAGACCTCTTAGGTCTTTTACAGTGCCGCTTGACATCAGAGGAAATTTGAAAGTATACCCTAGCTTTTAGAAATTTATCTAGGAACTCCTTTACATGCAGGATCTATTTGTTTCTAGTAAATCTAATACTAGTGCTTGGAAGCCAGATGAAGTTTAGGGACCTCCAGTGTAGCAAAAGAAGGACTGACTGATATTCACATACTTCCAAATGCTATATTACCACAGTTTTAAGGAATTTAGGTGAAAAAATTATGTATGATCGTATTTCTGCTTGTTAGAAGTTGATTTTTGACTTAAAGAGTAAAAGAGTTACTATAATTAAAACTTTTCCTAGAGGAAGGTTTGTGTATTTAGTCTGTCTCATGTGAGTTGCTGGCAGCAACAGTAAGATGTTCTTTCAAAATTCCTTCTCCTGCTACAGGTTTTCATCATTTTGCATCCCTATTGCAAGCATAGGAATAGTGGGATTATGTTCCTGTACCTGGTGCAGGTGCCCATGTATTGGCAGGAACTGGGGCTGTCCAACACCAGACACATCTGGTTGCAGCCTTCTCCAGCAAGACTACAAGGCATAGCTGAGCCCCTCTGCCAAGATGCTGGTCACTCTGGGAAAACACATTAAAAAGACGGCAAAACATTGCACAAGAGAGAAAGGAGTGAGGAAAACAGCTATGAGAAAGAGCCCTTCATTCACTAGGATTGGTGAAGGAGAGGGAAGAGGTACTCCAGTCCCTGGGGCACAGATTCTCTTGCAGCCTGGCAGGATGATGTTAAAGCAATTTGTCCCTTACAGCTCAGGGAGGACCACACTGGAGAAGAAGGTGAATATTTCATGAAAGAAAATGCAGCTCATGGTGGGTCCACTCAGGAACAGGGGAAAAGAAAAAGGGGGTGGGAGTAGTAGGGAAGAATTGTTATGGACTGAATTCAATAGAAGAAAACAGAAAGAAGGAGTTAGGTTTGGGGAAAAGTGAGAGAGTGAATGAAAGGAGTTTTAGCTTTTGTCTTTGTTTCTTACCACTCAGATAATTTTAATTATCAATATTCATAAATTAATACTCTCTAAGTTGAGTCTGTTTTGCCCAAGATGACAACTGATAAGGGATCTCCACTTCTTTATAATAACCCAAGAGCTTTTTTCCATCTTATTTTCAACCTCCATCCTTTTAAGAAGAGAGAATGAAAGAGCAACTTGGTGGCAGACTAAGGCAATGCCATCAGAGTGCGCAACATCAAATTTGGAACAGTTTATTTCTCTTTTTTACTTGGTTTCTCAGCCTAAAAAAAAATCCCATTAGCATAACGAGGATTGAAAAAAATGCAGATTTTAAAAGGATTATGTTCCAATCATTATACGTTCAGTTTTCTACTTAATTTTGTCAAGTCTTTATCTGTGTGTATATATTTAGACAGTCTAGGCAAGATATAAGGCATGAAATAGCCCCAGAAATTGATTAGAATTATAACAGTTACTAATCTGCAAACAACTGCTCAAATGAGCAGTCCCACTGATATAGCTGAACTTACTTATCTCTCATTTTTCAACAGTATTCTTTTAATGTTTATAATGCTGTGCAGTCATATCTTAGGTTTTGAAAATAAGTCCATGCTTACCTTTTTTCTGAACAATATGATCAAGAATAAAGAGTTGTGAATTATGCTTTCACTTAACTTGTAGAAGAAAATTGCTTTAAATAATGTCATTATTTCTACAGAGGTCCTATTGACTGGGACTTCTGTTTTGCATAGAAAGGGATAAAATTTAGCTCACTTTTTCATAAGTGTCTTGTATTGATTATGACAGATACCAAGCGAAAAAGGAGGAAAAACATATGTAAATCCTTTGGAATTCCAATCTCTTTATGTAGCAGCTGTGTAGAACTTAGGTCTCTAGCTTGACTTGGATTATCTAGAATTCTTCTGTAGCCAGCAGATGGTCACCTCCAGAAAGTAGTGCTACTGTTCATCACAGGTTCATATTCTAGAGTTGAATAAAAGACCTTCTCATGGTAAAGGAATTTTTAAAAAAGTAAAAGTATATGTATAAGTTGATAAATGTCTATTGTGCATAGAAATACACTGAAAAATGTATAGGCTACATAATTAGGCAGACAAAACCATTCATATTTTCTCCCTTCATATGGTAGCTGCTGTGTTGGACTTCTCACATTAGCTTAGAGAATGATTGTTGCTTGGCACAACAAAAATCACTCACACAACCAAATCTAATGGATGGTTTATTCCACCAGTGTAGGCCTCAAAGTAATTCTTCTGTAGTCATAATTTTCTGCTGTGATAGACCATTATCTTTGTATTTACTTGCACTGTACAGCAGTGAATGAACTGGAGGAGTAGCAAGCACAATGCAGAGGACTGCGATTGGGTAACAATAGTAGACGTATTTATGGACACGTTGTAGGTACATGTATTTTTTCTAGTTGTAATTGTTTCTGTCATTTATGTGCATGCAAAAAACAAAAGTATTTTAAATAGGGTAAAGAGGTGTCATACCTGAGAAATACATGTATTAACATATCGAACTGGGAAAACTAGAGGTGAATCTCATTGTACTTTCTAAAATGTAAAATGCCTGCATATTCTATTTGGGAAAGAAAAACACAATATTTTGACAGGAACTCAGGAAACTTACATTAATAGAAACAAGGAGTATCATTAATTTTGAGGATTCATGCCCTCTCTAACATCACAAATCTTATCATTAGGGCAGAATATCCCACTTATTTTTAAAAAAGCATGATGAAACATGACACCAAACTTTCAGACAATTGTCCTTATTTTCCTCTCACTACTTCCTGTGAGTTTTTCTACTTTATCTCATTTCATGGCAAAGGAACTTAGATTTCAAATAACTAAATTTTGAAAATAGACCTGAGGCTTCAAAGCCTCTCACACACAAATTTTCAAAAGTCTATGGATGTTTAATGAACTGATGACATGATTAAATTGAGGTGCTATAAGCAGCGTGGGGTCTAGAGCAAATTAGATTCTCATGCTATTGAAGCTGGCCTTGTGGTTGATGAGAAATAGATCTTCATTGGTGAGGAAGGTGTTTTAGTTTTGATTTGCCAATTTAAATATATTTATTTTTTGGTTGTGAGACAGAACCAGGAGTAAAAAAGCAAGGCAGGCTTAAAACTTAAGAGAGTATAAAAAAAAAGAAATTTATTAACTACACAAACAAAGGGGGGAAAAACAAATTCAGAATAAGATTTTTTTCAGACCACTCCTTCCTTTCCTCTTCCAACCTTCATAACAACAAAACAAACATACAACAAATACTTTGGTCAGTTCCTAACTTAGTCGTCTTCAGTTTACTTCTGGAGAGAGAAGCCTCTTTTTGTTGAAGCTGTAGGGATTTTTTCCACAAGAAGGAAGAAAACAGTCCTTTCGTGATTTCATTTTTCACGATTTGCATCTGCCCGGGAACCTGCAATCATGACACTCCTCCGAACTCCACAGCCTTTCCAAAGCTGTAGATGTGGCCCATGTTTGTTTTATGGGGTATTACTTTTAAGGATGAAGTGTTCCACAGCAAAGGTTCTCTTTATCTCTTTTCTCTCTGTTCAGGCTTCATTCTCAGAAAACTGAGATTTCCTTCTTTCCTCAGGGCAAAGATTCTCAACACAGGTGCTTTTTGGTTAAATCATTTATCAAATGGAACAACTCCAACTCCCTATGTCTTTCTCCATGGTTTATAGGAATATTCAGTACATCAGTTCATCCCTACAATCTTATAACAGGATTTTCAGCCATCTTGATAGCATCTCCTCATTTTTCTTCCATCTAAAAAAACTTAGCTCTTGCTTTATTGACTTCAGAAATCTTCTTATTCCTTTTCATATTCAAAGGAAGGCCGGAGGTTTTGCAAATTTTATTTGAGCATTAAAGAGTTAAAGTTTAACATAACTACAGGACTTGGGCCAGGCTTAGGTCGCACTGGGGGGGGGGGTGGAGGTGCTGTGGCTGAGGTGTCAGTCAGCCTTTCTGGGGCTGGGCAGCAGCCCCAGACTGCTCATAGTCACCCCTGCTTCCAAACAGGGCCCGGCTGCCTCCCCCAGACCCCAGAGCCACAGGCCTGTGGAGGAGGAAGTTGTGGAGGTTTTATCAACGAGCCTTTCCTCCTTCCAGTCATCGGGTCTCCTCGTTTGCAAACGGGGCCCATGTGGCCTCCCAAGCCTCCCCCTGAATGGCGGAGGGGAAGCTCGGGTTGGTGTTACCTACTCAGCCATTGGAAAGACAGAGACTCAGTTCTGGATTACCTCCTTCAAAATGTGTGTTCACTGAGCGAACTAACTTTCTCTCATTGGTTGTTGAAGGTGTCCCAACCCCCACAGAGGAAGTTCCTTTAGAGAGAACTTCTTTCTGAGTTTCTTCTTCCCAAGTCAACCCATCACAGAAGGGCACACCCCTCATTGGTTTCCCCTACCAAGGAACAAGGGGCTCTGTAGGGTCTTGTATGTTCTGTGACTCCTGTGTTGCTATGGTGGGTTTGTTTGCTTGTTTAGCAGGTTCATCTTGGCATAACCAAACGGCTCAATGTTTTCTGTGATTAGGTTTGCTACATCTGCTTGTACTGGCTGGTCGCCAGATCAACATCATATTTGTAGAAACATTTTTTTGGTACAGAAGTAAATACTGGAGAAGACAGTTTATTAGCAGAAGCCCCTTGTAGCTATTTTGCTTTCTCTGTGAGGAAGCAGACTTGTTGGAGATTAAGTTTACCAAGTATTTAATTTTCTTTTCTTTTATTACAAAAGAATAGAAGGGTAATTTTAAAAGATTGGGTAATTTTCAGATTGTCTGACTTTTTTTTTCTTGATGAAATAAGGCATTTCAATTTTGCTGAGGTCCAGGAGGTACAGAAATCAAAAAAACATAGATAAAGACTTTTTTTTTCTCTAAAAATATATCTTTTTCGTAGAAAATATAAATGTCAATATTTCAGAAATATATCACTCAGTATGACATTCATATGCATGTAAGAACTAATCACCTTTACTTCTAGTACCTAATACAGATGTTCAACTTAATTTCTTCTTCTCCTCCCCCAGCTTGATCCAAAAAGAAAAAGAAGTGTGCAAACCAAACAAAATTTTCCTTCATTTTCAAGTTATATGGAATGATATATGAAATTAATTGCTATATGATTGTCTTGGTTTGAAAGACAGGTATGGTCTAAGGAAAGGCAAGAGCCCCTTTTCTGCGATGCAGAGTGCAACCCCCCCTCCCTTTTAATTATTTTAGGTCCAATTCAGACGCCTTCAGGCAAGAGATATGGGGATAAGAATAACAGTTCTTTACTGGTATCTAACAAGGCAGAAAAAAACAACAGTTACAAAAACTGACAACAGAACAGAACAGTCTAGCTCCGCTCCAGTCCCTTTTGGCCGCAGGCCGTCTCCCTGCGCTCAGTTACCGGTGCTGTGGGGGCAGGGCAGGTCCCGCGCAGTTGAAGAGGGCTGGGTGATGGCGGCGGAGGCCCAGGGGTGAGAGGGATGGGAAAGTGACTCCCCCTCACGGTGTCGATCGTGGTGCTCAGCAGAGTGTCCGGAGATAGTAGGGTGAGATGGGAGAGCAGCAGAGCGATGTCCAAAGGCAGGGAGCATGGATCTCAGTGCTGGGATGGCAGGGGGAGATGCCAGAGCGGAGCCCAGGCTGTCTTCCCACTCCACGAGCCAAGCGAGAGAGAGTCTCCCGCTCCAGACCCCCGTCCACCTTTTCTTTTTCCGGTTCCACCCCTCCCCCTCCCCCTCCACCCACCCCCCTTTGAGAGAACATTATCTGTCGTTTCAAGGTATAGCCTCAATTACTTAGCATAACAATGGGAGAAAATTCCATAGAAAGAAAAGGGAACAATTCAACCTCCAACAATGATAAAATAGGAATATTGATGGATTTTGGTAAACACCCTTTGAAATTAATCTGGTTCCCGATTTCAATAATATCTAAGTGTTCTAAATCAAAATATATGAGATAAAAGAACTTTTCAGACAACCACTTTTTCCAGAGAGGTGGTAGAAAACTCCAGTCTAGATGATCATTAAAGACTTGCTTTGACAGCACAGCTGCTTTAATATCCAACACTGGCAGAGTTCACAAGCTCAGTTTTCAGCAAAGACTTGTGCTTTAACTGGAAAAGGTTATCCTGGAATCTTATTCAAAAGCAAAATGTCAGTTAAATTATGATATTTTAGTGTAATTTAGGACCTTCAACAGTTGAAGCTATGGGAGTCATACATCATATAAATTCTCAGTGTATCTGTGGTGTTTATAAAGTTACACTGTAGAGCTAGAAATGGAGCATCCCGATCTCAGAAACAGATGAGCTACCTAAGAGAGCAGTGTGTGGCACCTAAAATTTTAAGTCAAAGAGTGGACTGGATATGTCCACCCACTACAGTGCAGAAAAAAACCCTACCTTGTTAGTCATTGATTCAAATTACTACACGATGTTATTTTCCTATCACAAATAATATCTAAATTGAACTGACATCAACTTCACCATCTCATGCTATTATTTCGCTAAGCCTTTCTGCCGTCTGCTGATACTACAATCATCTTTGATTAAGGCAGCTATGTAGCCAACAAAAATGGTCTGTTGTGGGGTTAGGTCTCCGAGTGCTCTCAGTTCCCCCTTGTCAGGTGGTTTTCTTCAATGAGCCAAGCAGCTATTAGTTGCTATGAAGTTGTTTATTGCAAAAAGCACATCAGTCTCAAAAGCAAAAGTCACAGACAGTAAACTCCATGCTAAGTTTTGGTTTAGAGTCCCAAACAGAAGCAGAAGTTGCTCCTGGAGGCCCCTGCACAGGGCCAATGTTGCTGCAGCTCCTATCTTCTTGGGTGTTGATGATGGTGGCAAGATAGCAGGGACAAAGCAAAGCAAAGCAAAAGCAATGGCTGCAGCTCCCCCTGATGCATGTTCCTATATAGAAAATTCCCAACAAGCTAAGACACAAACTCGGACCACTACTTCTTAACCTATTAGAATTCTAGTTTCTTAGCATGCCAGGCTACATATAAACTACGTCTATCATCTATCTTGTTCTAGCTGAAAAATGTAAGCAATATTCTTACTATAGCTTTGTTATGTCTAAATCTATGTTCTTGGAGTCTCCACTAGATCTATGTCTCTTAGAGTCTCTCTAGGACTGTTTTTCAACCTTCACTACAACATGTATGACTACTCTGGTATCTGAGACCTTTATTCACTAAAAGCACTTAAAACTTTTTCTACTTACTTACTTACTTACATTGAAACCTAAACTTCCACCTCTGCCTTATGTGTGAGTGGCTTAACATACTTCAATCTATCCAAAGGCATTAATTCAGTCCCTGCACTCTGATTTCTCTCTGAAGATTTCAGAGAGACTCCTGACTTGCTGACTCCAACAGTCTATTACAAGAAATGTTACACCACCAGTAAGGGTGTCTGGATCATTGGCTTCAGTTGCCAGATAGGGGATTGCACAGATACAGATCATTGGAAACTGCTCTGCTACACCAGGACCAGGCAAAACTGTAAATATATTAATTAATATATTTGATCTCAAAAGAATATGTATTATTTTGTGCTCTATGAATTAAATATATTTGGGTTAGAAACCATTTTGCTTTGATAAAAGATTTTATCTGTTTCCTTTCATTGTTTTTTTATCCCTTAAGATACAAACTTCAAACTAGATTCCTGGAAGCGTAAAAAGATTGGCAGTTGTGGAAAAATACCATGATGGACTGGCCACTTGCTTAGTGTATTTCTGACTGTCACAAGGACTAGTTTCTGTCTAGAGTAGCAATGATGCAACTAAACTCAAGCAGGCTTTGGTCATATTAAATTCAACATTTGGATATCTACGTAGTGGTGCTAGCAACCAGGAAGAGGAGGGTTCACAGTATAACCACAACCAAAATAAAAACAATTAAGACTGAGCTTGCAGTGCATAAATTCCAATATGACAAAAGTATAGATGTGCCACTTTATAGCAGAACAATGTGAAAGATAAACTGAAAATATAAAAAAAAAAATAAAAAATATGAATGATATTCTGACATCAAGGACTCTCTGAGATGCAAGCATTAAGGAATGTTTTCCTTCAATCTTAAGTTCTTAAAAAATATTAAAATTAAGCATATGTTCTGTGTAGTATACATATATATATATTTATCTGCTATTAACTCTAAAAGGTAGAGAAAAAGCAGAAAGGACTCATTTTTTTATATTAAAGAAATGTTCTCTGTTTAGCCTTAGAACTGCAAATTATGAAAGCAAATTTATCCCATAGACTAGTGTAGATTTTTTAGCTTTCCTTATTCCATGTAATTTCTTTAGAATTTTTAGATTCTTTGTCAAGTGATATTCACTGTAAGTTGCAGTTGTTATAGATACTGTAATCATTACATCATCAGTTTCTATATCCAAGTCAGTGCTTGTTTTTAACATGGAGGGTATATTCTGTATTCAGTGACAAGTTGATTGA